CAAATATTTATTACTTTATTGATAAATATATTGATAAAATATTTTTCAATTTGTTGGTCACATTTCTAACGCGCGTATCTGTGGATTGTGCATGTTTATTTTTCTCAAGTTATAAGCCGCTATTGGAAAAATGGAAGGAATTCCAGAAAACATGGCATACACCAATGCAAAACAATTGGGATATTGCATTCACGCACGGTTCTCTGGACGCTTGCAATAAGGTCTTTGAAATGATGATCGACGAAAATGACCCAATATTACTCCAAACGCCAACATATACCGGAACAATCGGAGCGGTTGGTAGTTTTAAAATAATATCACAAAAAAGTAACAAGTTTTAATAAAGAAACTTTTCTACCAAAAAATGAAATACACGCCAAGTATATAAAAAAAGTATCCAAACTTATATGTAACGTATATGTAACTTATATGTTTCTTAAATAGAAATTTAAGAAACAAAAAATTAAGACACACTTATATGCACTTGGCGTTCTTTATCTATATAAAACACAAGTTTTCACTCACCGGTCTATACGCACAGCAGCAGATATGTCATATATATAGAAATTCTTTTCTCTTATTTTTACTTCAGTTATTTAAAAAATAAATCAAATAAACGACAATAAATGCGCGCGCAATATATTAATGAAAAATAATATATAAATATTAAATTATTTAGCCCAAGATTATTTTGGTGTCGCCCGATGCCTCTTAAACCTGCTCTTCCTCTCAGGTTGTCAGAATTCATCATACTTACTCACAAAAATATATAGTTTATTATGGTTTATCATTGTTTATTATGCGACACTATAAGAATGAACGCGCGACAATTTTCACGGCACTCCCGCACTCGAACGCGTGACATTTTGCATAGCACTCCCGAACTCGAACGCGCGAGATTTTGCATGGCACTCTCAAATTTCACAATCGCGAAACAAGGCTTAAGAAGCGAAAGAAGATGGAATCGATCGCGAATCGAACCGCTTGTCGGAGTATTTCATTGAGTATTCTCCGGCAGTCAATATTTCAGGATAAATCTTCAGGATAAATCTTCAGGATAAATCTTCCAGCTAACCTTTCTACTAAGCTCTCTCACTAACGTCAAGGTGTACTCGTTGGAAAGATTTTATCGTGAAAAGCCGATCATGCAAAATAAATATATTCGAAAAAACAAGCATCGGGCGCCGGTTAATTAATTTTCACCTGCGTGGCTACAAAATGCCTCACTTAAATATAAAATAAATTATCAAATACATTATATTATAAAATTAAAATATAATTTGCCATGTGTTTGTTTAAACAATATATTACAAATTAATTATTAATTAGCGATCGATACAATACCACTTTCAGTGTCTCGGAAGATTATCAAAAATATTTATAATAATTATTTGATAATCTTGCTTTAGTAATACTCATTAGTAATTGAATTATAATATAAAACAATTGACATTAATGTATTTAACGAACTAGTACAATTTTATATCGCGCAGATATAATTGCGTGAAGAATATAATTTTTAATCAATTCTACCGATATCTCATCGTTTTGCAATAACAGACGTATATGTATTTTCCAAACAAATTTCTAAATAAAAAATTTTTCATAACTTGCAGCTAGTACCGCTATCACCAGATATTATAGAGATTAATCAAGATAACGATGGTATCATTCCCGAAGAGATCGCCAAAGAATGCGAACACAGACTTGCGACTGGTAGACCGATGCCAAAAGTGAGTCAGAAAATTTGTGGTATTGAATAAGATATATCTCTTCTGAAATCATGTATAGAATATTGAGAAAGTAATTATTTATTTTTGCCCTACAATTTTTATCCTTAAATCTTTATTCGCAAAATACTTCTCGCTTTTACTTTTAATTCAAAAGCTTTGACGTTTCTACTGAGAAGAGATCAATTAAAAATTGCTCAAATAAAATATGCTTATAGAATTTATCAAAGCATTTTGATAACATTTTATATAATCGTTCTAAAAGATAAGAATCATTTCTACTAATGAGTTATCAAATAATGATGTCAAAATTATTTTAATCGTGTCTTTATCTTTTTCTTTTATCTATTAATATTCTTTTACTTATTTTTTTATGCGTAATTAAAATTATCACAAATCCAACATTGGAATATTATTTCTATTCATCAGAAACATGCATGGTTTACTAAATCTTCCAGTTACTTTACGTTAATCCGACGGGAGCGAATCCTACAGGCGCCGTCTTGTCGGAGATCCGACGAAGAAAAGTATACGAATTGGCGCACAAATACAACTTTCTGATCGTCGAGGATGACCCTTACTATTTCGTTCACTTCTTAGATAAACAGCCCACGTCGTTCTTCTCCCTTGACACTGACGGTCGTGTAATCAGATTGGATTCGTTCAGCAAGATAATGAGCGCTGGGATTCGCGTTGGAGTCATCACAGCCCACAGAGACATTGTGAAAAAACTGATTATTCATATGGATAATTCTACCGTACACGCATCATCTTTGTCCCAAGTAAGACTTTTAATACTTGTTTTTTAATTTATCTATATTACTTGATTAATACTACCGCGAAGCTAATTTATTATAAATATAAATTTTTATATAATTTATATTTATAATATAAATATATTATATAACTATGTAATATATAATGTGTGATATAAATATATTAAATTTATATATATAAATATTTAAAATTAAGCATGTCTTCAAAAAGAAAATTCTTTATTACGATTATCTTACTTTGCATTTTACACTTCGATATTTTATTCTTAGTATTCCAAAAATATAAATTTATGGGTAAAGTTATTTTGTTGAGTATATGTCAAATTGATTTATAACGATCTGCTGCAGATGCTTCTATACAAACTCTTCGAAGCTTGGGGACCGCAAAAATTCGAGGAACATTTCAAAGATATACAAAAGTTCTATCGGGAGCGACGTGACATAATGCTAGCCATGGTTGAAAAACATTTGACTGGTATTTCAAAAATTTATTCCAATAATTTATTGTTAATTTAAAAATAATTTTATTGAAGATATTTATCAATTGTTTTAAAATATCAAAACTGGCTTTAAATTATCGGATATTCTTGCAATCCTAGTTACTTTAGCTAATATGAAAATAATTTTATTATCGAATCATTTATTGCTACTTTTCAATCGTTAAAATTGCATTTTTTAACAGTTAACTTATTATTATTATAGTATTAGTAATTTA